TGAAAGGTTTTGTGAAAATACCTGCATTTGTGTGTGGTTTTCCCTCTTCCTTTACCCCATCTCTTGAAACTGAAATAGTAATGCCAGGAGGATACCTTAAGTAGGTGCAAACATGTTTGACTGGCATGACTGGGTTGGGGGAGGGCAATGTTGAAAAGTACATCTTAAGGTAAACCGAAGCCAGGCCTTTTGCTGGTGTGAAGAGTCTACTCCAGGGGTGTAGTGGTGCACTTGCCACAGGAAGCTCCTAAGAGTGCCATATCAATGACAAAGTCCGTCACTTTATGTTCTCCTTGGAATGATTATTTTTAATAGTTTTGAAGCTGACATTCTTTATATGTGGAATTTAAAGGGGTTTGATGTAAAATTTGAAATACAAACTCATTTTCAGTCTTAACTTAGTGCTATGGTATCTGATGTCCTCTCAGTATTCCCCAAACTTTTAGAGCAGGATTACAAGTAATCAGATACTAGCATTCAGTGTGATAAAAAACATGACAACATAAACTGTTAGAAGTTGGGTTTATCAGACAAAACCACAGTATCTTTGTACTGTGATCCTAATACAGCATTGCACATCTTGTTAATTATGGAATTAAAACAGTTAAATGTAGATGATCTATTTCAACTTCGTAGGCATGAACTTTCAGCCTGATCTACAGGCCTGTATTATCCTTAAGGAAGCCAAAGTCCCTCTGCATATATTCAGATGTATTTAGACCTAAGTCCAAATTGAATTGCTATAGAAATAATTAGGAAGGGTTACCTAACACAAAAGAGAAAATCAGGTAGTCGTTTATTTGCATAATAAATAGGAGTTCAGCAGTCCCAGTCAAGGGCTCGGGTCCTCTTTTTTGTAGATGTTTCACAAACACAGAGCAAAGAGTATTGTTACCCCAGAAAAGTGTTCATAGCTGGGGGTGTATCTGGAAAATGCAAGTTCAAGGAAATGATTTAATAGCAGCTTTCACTTTCCTATCAACACTTTTTTGTGAAGATAGTCTTCCCAGAAGTACTAGTTTGGCACAAATGGAAGGAGAAGGTAGAATGAGCAGCGTCTGCTGCTGCCCTTGCCTGCAGTAGGAGGAGAGAATGGTGCTGGTACAGCTACAGTAGGAAGCTTTTTCCATCGTCTGTAGCCTGTCAGTAACGGGCTGTTTGTGAGCAGGCCCAGGCTATTCTGGGAAAAGTACTTTTTTTGCAGTAATGCAACATAGGAAGGATCAGTTTAGACTTAGTATTAGAAATGTGTTTCCACACCCTGTATGTCATTGCCCGTCTTGCAAGAATTGCTAGTGTTAGTTGTGATGTTAGTACTTGCAAAGTTGGCTTTACATACCCCTGACCTGAGGTAAACTCAATCGTGGTATTAACATATAAATACTGATGTAGTTGTGTCCAAATAGCTGTGAATGTAGCTGCTTTGGAGGGAGGAACCAGTGGTGTAACTGGATCTGCAGAGCTGTGAGGCTGCTACAGTCCTTGGCAGAACTTCAGGAAAGGTCCATCGTTGCTGTGGATGAGTGTAAAACACGATGGTGTAGTTAAGGAGGCTGATGTTCAGCACCCTGTCCTCAGGTCCCGTGCACCTAGCAGCTTTTTTGGTTTTTGATTGGGAATTACTCCTACTTGCAGTTGGTTTGGCAGTTAGAATAATGTCTTGAATCCATGTGTTCCTAATGAGCCTTACCAAGTAAGATGCTTATTAACTGCCCAAAGCAGCTCGCAAAATAATCCAAAAATAGCACAGTGACTGGTTACTCTATCGCTTTGCTACAGATCTGATTAGGATAGAGCAGAGTGCCTAAATTTTGCAACGTGAGCAGTGTATTAAGTCTTCCAGGAATGCTGACACGTAATCTGATGGCTTTTGTTTTGGTTTTTTGAAGTTTATTTTTTGTTTAAACAGAATTTGTTTGACATGTTTGGGGTAGTTTGTTTTTTGGGTTTTGGTGGGTTTTTTTTTTTTAATTATTGTGATCATTGCAGGTCACTTCAATTCACAAGAGACATCTGGTTGGTTAGGTAATTTCTTACTCTGCTATTAGTGATAAGGTATCCAACTGTTAATCCTCTCTAGCCTTATCTTAGTGTGTGAGAAACTGCATCAATTTACAGAAGGGTCAGATGTTCTGACTTGAAAATGCATTGAAACTTGTTCTGGGAGACTGGCAATGGTACAGCTATTTTAACATTTTGCATATGGATTTTCAGTATTTTCAAACTCAAATTATATTTGTATTGTGGGTATGTTATTAAGCTCTTACTAAAAATCAAAACAAAACCTAAAAATTCATACTCAACATGTGCAGAAATAATGAAAGCAGCTGCCTTTTCTTGCTGTGATACAAAAATAAGATGAAAATACTGTATATGAAGCAAGATTTTTGTGTGAGACTTTAAATGTGTGAGGTGTCTGGAAGTACAGTTGCAAACCTAAAGAAGAGCTGAAAGGCAAAAGGCAGTAGGAGTTAAAAAGAATGGTGAAAAGAACAGACTGCACCAGTACTACCTAGCTTGTACCCTAAGTAAAAGCTGTGTCTGTAATTTGCTTTAATAAGTAGTGTTAATAATCAGTGTTAAAAAGACAAACTTTTTTAGAGGTTCCTGTAAGCAAAATCTACTTTCTATTGCGGGGAGAGAGAATTCTTCACAAGTTGATAGAGTATTTGTGAATGGTGAATTAACACTGATTTATGTTCAAGACGTGTGTTGTTGTAGGTTATGTCCTATAAATATATACAAATGAACTTGGGGTGGCAGCAGTTGAGGAGAAAATGATCCATATCTTTTTATGAAGTGTCAAAAAATGAAGTTTTAAAACTTGCAGTGGGAAGCTTCTGGAAGGCTGATGCAAGGCTGATGTACTTACCTTTGGGTGTTGTCATGCTTTTCCTGAGGCTGAAAGTTAAGGCTTGCAAGAAGGCGCTTTGTTTCTTCATTATTTGTTGTTCATAAGTGCAGTTGCTTCAGTGGTGGGTAGCATTTTTACCCCTTTTGGTATGTCTTCAAAAGGGAGGACTGCTGTTAAATTTAGTGTTGTAATTGAAAAAGAAAAAAAAAAGGCTATTAGCATGTAATAAAATTTCTTGTATGTAGTTCTCAACTATACATAAGAATAGTCACTTATGCATACAGTGGGATTTTCTACTGGTCACCAGGTCACATAAACATTGTTGCAATAGGAATAATGTTTGTAATATATTGGTGAGGCAAAGTGCCTCGTGTAATCTTGAGGGAGGAAAAAAAACCCCTGAAGTACTCCTGTAGATAAGGGTGAATTTTTCCAGAAGTCAGTTTTGCATCAGAGCTTGAGTTCTGCAGAGGTGAATCTTACTGTAGGGATACATTTTGGTGTGAGTTTTAAATAAGTTTGTAGTAGTTGTGAGTTTTGTAGTAAAAATGTGTATCGCTGGTTTAGGTCACTAATTTTCTGCTTCTTTAATGCTTCGCTCTTTCTTGTAGTGACAGTTCTCTTATTTTAGGACCGTTGTCTGCACTAATCTAGAAATCTTGCTTCTTCAGCCCCTAAATCATAGTCTGCTGTCTTAGCGTTAATATTTGTGCCTTGGCACATAAGATACAGTACCTGAAAGCTAGCCAATATCATGCGTATCCACTGAGATGTGGAACTCATGTTCTGTGTTCCTAAAACCCATTCTTTCTCCCTGATGCCCATTGTATTCATATGTTAACACTGCATTTTACTGGCCACCCGCGGATTGGCTTGGACAAACTGGAATAGTATTAGAGAACACTTACGTGTATCAAAAAGGGGAAGAAATTAACACAAGTTGCTGTTGAATAGCAGTGCTTTATGTAGCTCTCCAGGCTCATGTTAACATTCTTCACACAATGGGGCACTTAATGGGTTTGCAGATGGCCTGATTTGATTTTTTTTGAAATATAAACTATCCCTTAAGGAGTTGTGGGGTGTTGTGTGATAGGGCTGAATATGATGATAGTTTACTGCTGGTGGGAGAAAGATGGGGGGAAGTATTAGGGGAAAACAGAGAAAGGAAGATGACACTGGGGCATGAAGTGGGAAAGGGCAGCAATGTTTGTATAATGAGCATGTCTTATTTATACGGCATATTTAAGGCACTGATAGTGTTGAACAGATAATGCCTAATTATGAAATAGTGGTTTTATCTTAAAATATTACTGAAAATAGAGGAAATTATGTCTGAACTTAGGACAGATTCTGAAATGTTCTGCTCTCATTAGAGTATGAGTCAGGTATCCTCCTTGTTTACTCTGGCAAGCTGTCATAAAACTACAGTGTGTTATGTTGAGTAATTCCATGAGCTTGTATTTGGAGATCATGTGGGCCACTAGTGGGACGGCATTATTGCTGCTCAGTTGGAATACCTGCTTGCTGAATTGTTCTACTCTATCTGTTCTTGTCTAGAAAACATTAATGAACCGGGGTAACACTAAGTGCCAGCTTGGAAACACATGTTTTGGCTTTGAATTTTAGTCAACTATTGTGTTTCTACTCAAAACAAACAAAATCTTTGTGCTACATTAGTTGAATTTAATTTTAAAATAGAACTGAAAGGCATCTTGGGAAACCAAACCTCAGATAGGTTCAGCTGTACCAAAGCCATTACTGATGGCTTTTTTTAATAACAAGATAGACAGACTTCTGGTGATAAAGGTGCTACAGCCTCTTGTGGCAGTCTGTTTTGGTGATTAACGGTCCAAACATGCATAACATTTTTTCAATATTTAATCTGAGTTGCCCTTGCTGTAGTTTAAGATCTTGTTAATTGTAATTTTTACAAAAAACAGTTTTTCATGTAGAGTTTTTTCTTTTGTGGTTTTAACTACATTTTCAGTGAGTTGACCAGATGATTTTTACGGTTGTGTCCTATAATCCATACAGTTAAAATATGATTGTGATAGTACAGTTAAATTATTTTGTGTTTTTTCTAATATTTTAGATCTAGTATAAAACTTCAAAAATGGTAAAATTATTTTTCTAACTTGACAAACAGGTTGAATCATTTATTTTGGACCAAGAAGATCTTGATAACCCAGTACTGAAAACCACATCGGAGTTATTCTTATCAAGTGCTGCAGAAGGTACAGACTTGAGAACTGTGGATCCAGAAACACAAGCAAGACTAGAAGCCTTACTGGAGGCAGCAGGTACTTTCTTTGTATAGTTTTTTTTCTGAACCTAACTTGCACACAGATCTGGCAACCTGTAAATTTTGACCCTGGTGAAATATTCACAAGTCTGGAAGTTTACCGTGATGATGGGGAGCAGAATGTGGAAAACAAGCTCATACAGGTGTTGAGGGTTACTTGGTCCACTCTTTCTGTACATATAAATTTAGAAAAGTTAATTTGAATTAGATGGTATTTCATTGACCAAATGATACTATGTGTTACCAGAGGGAGGATTAAAGGGGAGAGAATGGAAGGAAATAGACTTGCTAAAATGACATTTTTTTCTGCTGCTTTGGTTAATATATAATTATTAATTCATTACTCCAGAAATTTACAGGTGAAATACTTATTTCTCTGTTTTGACTTCCACAAAAATATTTTTCCATTCTGTAGTTCTGAGGTTGTTGGAAAATACATATTTAATATTCATGCTTCAGAACCAGACTAGATGAACATAGTGCTACTGCATTTGTTACTTTTATAGTGAAAGCTTGACTAATTAAAGTCTTTCTAAGGCTTGTGAGTCAGGTGTTTGCAATGGATTTGAAAATTATTTGTCAGTTTCAAAATTCTAAGGACAAAAAGATGTAAAAACTCTTTGAAACAAATCCTGTTTGATCATTATGGGTGCATACTCAGACTAGTAGTAGTGTGCTGAAATCAGAGTTTTCAGACTTTAGCTTTGAACACATGTAAGAGCTAGATAAAATAGCATTTATTTGCAGGTATTTAGATATAAAGCTATGTACAGTCTTAAAGGGGACCTTCATTCTGAGGAAGCAAAGGGGGCAAGGGATTCAGGCTTTGGGTTCTCTTTGCATTTTGAATTTGAAAAAAAATGCAACTTACAACATAGCGTAGCTTTTGTCAACAGAAAGTTGCAGCAGCCTAATTAAACGTGGTCCCCTAAAATTATTCTAACCTGATATAACTCTTGGGGACCAAACTTTGCTTTGCAGGGAAGATAGACTTTTTCTGGAATACTCTGGACACTAAGAGAAGTTGAATAATCTGATCCCTTTTAAAGCACTCTTTAAAATGAAAATCAGTTGCAGTTTTGCTTATGTACCTGATGACTGGTGTGTCCTAAAATGTATTGCTAGCTTTATAAATCAACAGTGGAGATGTCTGGTGGCTAGTGTTATGAGGGCAGTTAGTCTCCGAGGTGTGTGCTTACATCTAGGGTTGCAGTGTTCAAAATGATTTCTCGGTATTTAACAAATCTAGGAGATACCATTACTTCTTGTAATGCCTGTGAGAATGCTTTTGTTAGATTTCTTAGTAGTAGTTGGACACTTGTCCCCAGGATTAGATGATTTGTTTTTAATCGGAGGTTTACACGCTTTGATTCTCTCAGTGCTTGGAGTAGGGATGTAGAAAACAGGCAGAACAGAAGGAATCTGGAAAGAAGAGCAAATAAAAAAAAGAGTGCTTTTGTTTGGTGGCTCTATCTCCCTCTGTCAAACTATTGGACAAAATTAATGCCACTTGATGAATCTGTGAGGTCAAAAGACTGAAAACACTCTAGAGAAAGTCCTCTAGTTAAGCAGTACTTGTCTTTCCCACTGTGAATTTGAACACTAAAAATATCATTAGGCTAACCTAAAGGAGACACTGAGAATCTCTTAGTTTATTAATAAAAGCCATAATTTGAAAGTGATTGAAAGAGAAGCTAGTGTTTCTGGGAGATGTTCTAATATCTTCACTCGATTTCTCTGGCTGGTTTGGCTGAAAATACACTTTCTAACCTTAAGTGAGCTTCTAGGTTTTCATCATGGCAACAAAGTGGCCTAGTGTTGGGACTTCATATTGTTTTGCAGTTTGGCAAAAGCAAGTGATTTCTCCTTTTATTTTAGTCACATTTTAGTCCCCAGCATTAAGGTTAGCTTGCAAAAGTAGATGGCAGAACTGTTGCTCAAACAAGTAGTGTAGCTACGGCCTTGTCTGATGTGGTTTCCAGGGTAGCTTGGCCTTTGTTGTGATGATCGCCTCTCCTGTGGGAGGCTTGATTCTGACTTAGAACATAGAGGAAAATCGGTCTTGTGTTCAGTGTCTCAGATTTCTTAGGGTTTCTCACATGCAGGGTTCATGGCTGCGTCGTTAGGATCTTAATGAGTATGACTTGCAAAACTAGTTTTGCTCATTCTTCATGAATCCTTTAATGCTCAGATCTCGCATAGACATGGCATTTATTAATTCTGGAAGGTAACTACTAGCAGCTGCAGCCAGATGGGATGATGTTTTTCAAATTACTTATGCAGAAGTGGTTTTCAGCCATTGCATTCTTTAAGATTTGTGGGTGTTTTGGTTTTAAGTAGCTGTCTTGATTTGAGAGCCAATTAGGCCTGCATATCCAAGTGTAGAGGCCAGAGGTTAGTTGAACTGCTTAAAAATGTTTCTATACATTATATTTACCCATCATAAGAGTGCTGGATATTTTTTTGCAGTTCAGCTTGTTTATTGTGTTTCCAAGAGGACTTATAAAATATTTTATGGTTTTGAATGCTGAGGGTGACAGCCTTAAGTAGAATTTCTAGCAAGAGGGTTGTGCCTTACCCCCCCTAACATAACAGCAAGTATACACATACATACATGTACACGTGCACACAAACAGTGGTTATATTCCTTATGTTTACTTAGGTCCTCTGAAAACCTGGCTGATTAGCTTTAGTTTGGACAACCATACTTACTTCTGTGATCTGTTTAAGCAAAGCACAGGCACTTTGTTAGTGAACGACTCTCTTTAAACAACTGTCAGTGATTGTATTATTTCACAAAAAAAATAGTTTTACATTCTGAAGACTGAGACTTCACTGTTCTATGAATGTCATAAATATGAGTTGTTTTCATCTTCAGAAATTGAAGATAAATTAAAACAATTAAATCCTGTTCTTTGGGAAGGTATCCTAAACAAACCAAACCTTTTGTATACCTTCCTTCAGTTTAACTCCTAGTAGCAAAGAAGGGATTTATAGGTAAAATAACTTATGGAAAGAGAACCATACTGTTTGGAGATGTTTCCATTTTTCAGACTGTGATTAAACAGATTCTTAGTATTCTGACAGTGGATTCGTGTTCTGCACCAGAAACATTCGGCTCTACTGTTAATTAGGGTACTGTTGATTTCTTAAAATAATATTCCAGCTCTGAAGAATCATGGTTCTTTTTTGAATCTTCAGTAAGGTTGCCTGTTAAATTTCCTTTTTAGGGACTGTAGTTGACTGCTGGAGGATGAGAGCTCTTTGCTGCTGTGAATGAATGGTTATAGTGTTCAGAGCTCTTCTTGGCAGGTTACTCAGTGGGTTCCTCAACACATGTTCTTAAAAGGGCAAACTCGCCTCTAAAGAGTTGGGGAAAGTTTGACAGGTTAAAAAGCTGTTTCATTTTCTAGTACCATCTTTTGTAGGCATCAGGAAGGGAAAACGACTTGCTTATATAGTGCAGGCCTCTTTCTGCAGTACAGGTTGTTTCTTAAAGAGCATGGAGAAAGGTGTTGGTTGAAGTGTGTGGTCAAATAGAAATCCTGGGTGCCCGTTCAGGGTATTCTGCACCCAAAACACAGAATTCCACAGAAAGTTGCAAAATGTCAAAATGTTAGTCCCTGCAGTTAAAATACCCTGTTTGTAGTGTTTCAGCATGGTCTTCCTGAGTTTTCTAGGAAGTGATGTAGAACGTTACTGAACTGATTTTTAACTTGAGAAAGTAGCTTGGGTGCCTGTATCCTTAGCAGCAGATCTTTTGAGCATGTCCCTTCTCAATCTGAATGTTGACTCACTTTGACAACGAAGCATCAAAAAACAGATGCAGAAGAAAGTGGTAAAGAAGCTTTGTCTAGCATTGGAGCACTTGATACTCCCATTAAGTATCTACGCAGGGAGGAGTTTAGTTACCAGTGAGTGCTTCAGAAGTTCTACTGTTGTTTATAGGAGGCTTGTGAGGAAAATCAGAGTATTTTGGAGAGGAACCATGTTTAGCCAAGGGTTTACTTATTGAAACAGATGTGAGTAGTCCATCCTTTTGTTCAAACAGGGAGCAGAGTTATTTCAACAGAAAAGAAGAATGTATATAAAAGATTAAAGGTGACTAGAGACCCTCAAGTAGATGGTTTGGTGTATTTGAGACTCCAAAGTCTCAAATAATTAAATTTGATTTAATAAACACACTGGTTAAATGCAGTGTAAAAGGTGAAAGAGAAATCTAGTTTTAGTAACAAGTATCTGTTAATACCTGGTGAATTTCAGTAGTTGATTCAGGCATGAGAGCCTGGTACTGCTCTTTGGAAAGCTGGTAGGATGAAACTGGGGGGTAAACAGTTTGTGTGTTCTGGAACTGGGGAAGGCAAAAAGTGGAAGTAATCACCTACTTAGTGGAAATACAGAACACAGGTCAAAATATGAACAGGCCCAGATAAAATCTGCCTGCTTTAGGATAAACTGAAAGGATAGGGTGAGATTCAGCAATTGTAAAATTGAATGCTTCGCAGTATGTGTTTCTCTCTGTATTTACTCAGTTGCCAAGCTGTTGACCAGACCTGCTTTTTTTTTTTTTTTTTTGGTGATGTGACCAAACCCATTCATTATTCACTAACAGCAAGGGGTTTTTTGATTAAAATAAAATAAATTATATTTGTTTCCCCAAACATTAGAGGGCTAGAATGTGACAAGATAGGCCTGTGATCTGGCACTACCGGGGAGTGAGCTGTGGTCTGAAACACCAGTTCAAAAGAGGCACAGCTTGCTTTCATCCTGCATCAGAGAGACCCCTTAGAAAGTGTCAGAGACTGGGCTAGATAAATTATTTGATCATGTTGTTTATGATCAATAAGATTTATGTGTGGACCTGGTGTTTCTTTTCTTAGGGTTGATGAGTAGCTTGTGATTTAAATGGAGGTGGGCATCTAATCCATTAGAAACTTAACCTCTGAAGGATTATCCAAGCTCCACTTCAAACTGTAGAAATTGAGGGCTGCAGAAAAT